AGTTAGCTAGTCATAATTTTTTCATGTAACATTAAATTTGTTCAAACAAGGTATTGCTACATCCTAAAATCCTATGACATTGCGTAATTAAAAAAAATAACCTTGACGATTTGTTATAGTAATATATAATATAGTCATACATAATATGCGTTAAAATACTTATAAATGCAGTATATATATTTTACAATATGCAGTACATATAATAATCGTATTAAAATGTTAAAAAATGTTTTTCAGTAATTAATACTATCCCTGAACAGCTAGATCTGCAAGATAGCAAATTTTACCTATGTAAAGTGCAAAAGCTTCGGCTTCGGCATATGACTTCGGCCGAAGCTTTGGCTTCGGCAAAATCTTAGCTTCGGTACATCCCAATTTTTAATGCTAATCTGCTGCACTAATAAACAAATACGTCTTTATACATACAAAAATTATTTACAAATAACACTAATCGATTGTTGGCTTTAAAGAAACCATTAACTATACCTATACTTTACATTTTCCCTTGGTCATAACGGCCAATTCGTCTCGCGGTCTGTAACGATAAAGGGCCCTCCTTTCACGCGCGCTTTTTTGCAACATTAGCGTATTTTTTGTTTCACCTCCACAACTTATAATTCTTCAACATCTTCTGGATCCTCATTTAAGTAATTGTTTTCTTTTACTTGTTCAAGATCTTCCTTTGAATCGTTGTCAACTCTTACATGTCTTAGGTCTTGTTCATGTCAGCACATTTTGTCCACTTCTAACGTTTGCCCCGAGATTATCCCTGAAGTTAATCCAAGCTTGTTTTGAGAGTCGCATCGGTTATCCGGGGGTTTAACATGTACTTTGTTGCTAAGTTTAAATTTATTGGTTTTGATTGGTTAAAATTATTGGTTATCTTTTAAATGAGGATCATGTGCGTTCTTATTGTTGTCAATTCCTCTAACTCTAATTTCGTATTGAAATAACTTATTTGCAGGTGCAGATGAAGACTATATATAAATACACTACCTCAAGTAGGCTGCACAGAACTCTCTTTGCCATCCTTTTAGCAGTTTAATAATATTATTCTGCAATTTAATTTCTTGAAGGCACCTAAACGCAACTGCATTTATGTTTAACGTTTTCTTCCGAACTTCCTCGTTTGCGTTTAACTCTTGAATAACACATGCACTGGTGTTATCCTTAAGACGGCGCTATATTAAATACAGTGTAGGTCCACAGTCGATTAGAGTAAGATAGTGCTGCCTCTCATAATGAATTATATCCATGCCAAGTTGTTGCCACTTTCTTTTTACTTCTGTTTCCTACGACCATTTTATTGAACTTGAATCAATTAATTGACAGGCTATGTTTTTCTCAACCACTTGTTTTACTTTTCCTTACTTACTGAGAAGGTGATTTTACGAGCGAAGTATGATGTTTTCTTCACACCATAATATCCTGTAAATTAATGAACATGCTCGATTTCTTTGAAAGTTCTAATAATGCCACTTGCTGCCTTTTTAGTGGGTTTATAAGCATATAATAACCAACTATAAGGCACTTTAGTAAGAGCATCGGCCAAGTCTTCGAAATGACATGCTTAATATCTACTTTGCACAATTCGTTTTAACTAAATTTAGGTCTTTTGAATTGCGTCCAAATTAATTTCAACGTTTTTTGAAAGAGTATAGTATATTTATCACTATGTATATGGTCCACCAAATCAGAAAACTCTTGTTAAGTAATCATGGCGTTTTAAAGACTTTTTTGCGCCTTTTTTCTCGCGCCTTTTATTTTACGCCTTTTTTGCGAGTGTTTTGCGCTATTTTTTGGTCCGCCATGTTTTCATTCAAAATTTTACTGCTAATTTTAGTTAAAAGTTACAGACAATTTATTGGAAATAAGTAATACAGAAGGTATTTTGTTATATTAGATTGTTAAGAGTTATTACATTGTTAAGAGTGGTTAATCACTTAATCATGAATGTTTTAAATCATAAAACGAACATATATTTACAAATATAAAATTAAAAACTATTTCTTTTCAAGTTGAATCACTAAAAAATATCAACATTTAAATTAACATTTCCAAGAGAAACAAGATTTTTTCCATTTAAAGAACCTAATGCCCATACTAAATTATGTCTATAATTAGAATTATTTGCGGACACCTTGTAGCAGTTTCTTGTGGGAGTTTTGAAGAGGTAGTGAACACTTTCTACAGATTGCTCCAAATAAACTCTAAGGCCCATTTTTTTTTGATTTATAGAATTCAGATCCATGATTGAACAGGATGTGAAATTGTGGTGTTAAAGTAAAACCATGTTCTAACATCAACTTTATGTAGCAGGCTTTTAAACTTTTGATATTAATAATTATATAATATAATAATAATATACAATGCTGTTGAAATTTAACCATGTTAAATCTTTTACAGACATAACAAGAAAGTTAAAGATAGTCAATTAAGTCTAGTTTAGCTTTAAATAAGTTGAGATTTTTAAGTTCCACTGTTTCAATTGGTAAATTGTTCCAGAACTTGACTGTGCGATTTGTAGATTTGTATTAGTTTGAAAGTTTTCATCAAGTCCGGATCCAAAGCAAGACTCAACAACTAAATTTAACAAACTTAAGCATTCTCCAAAAGACTTTAGTTTAATTGGCAGCTTATCATCAAACACTTCTTACTTTTTAAGAATTTTTTGAGAAGAATATCCATTAAATTTTTCACCATGCTGACCAGTCTTAATAATTTGAAACTGTTCATAAATCTCCTTCATATTCATTTCCAACCAAATCTGCTCCATGTTATCGATTACATGATTTACTGTACCCTCCATTATATGAAGCTCCGGTAAAACAAGTCTATCTAAAAGAAATTGAGAGGGGTTTCCATGTACTAATACAGGGTTTATACTACTCTTAAAATATTGTGCACACTTAGGTTTTGAACCAGATTCTTTGAATTTTGTATAGTTTTCTTAACAGTTCTCAAATGTTCTGTATGGAGCATTTTTCCAAGTTTCCCTTTCATCACACTCACATACATAACATGGATGAATTAAACTGCTAATTGGAGATATACTTGTCAGAATTTGACTAAGTTTTATGTCGCATACCCCAATGTGCTCAACTTTTTCAAGGTTTAGTTTTTCAAATAATATTTTAATGTTAAAATATCTTTCTGGGATCTCTGGAGCTACCAGAAGAAGAAATAAAGCATTTACTGAAAAATCTTTGAATTTCTTTGTTAGATCATTTTTATTTAAACCCCTTCAAGTTGTTACGGTTTTGTTTTAAGGTAATCTAAGTCAAATTTTCCGTAATTTTCAAAAATTTCATTGAGATCGTCTATATTTAAACAAAATTTGGTAAAACCAGTTTCCCCATCAATAGCAATTTTAAACAACTGATTCTTAGAATCAACTCATTTAAGATCCAGGAGTAGTTTAACAAACAGAGTAACATCATTGTAGTACGCGACTGTAATTTTTTTTAATTCCAAAGTTTTATCTTCGTTATTAAATTCAAATAAAATATTTTCTTCAGTAAATAATGGGAGAAGATAACTATCCAAATCAGAGACACAGTCTTTTAGTCCAGGTTCTACAGCTTTTTTTCTTTTTTCAACAACTCTGTAATAATTAACTTTTTTAATAATAAATTTTGCTACAAATATTGCATTATTTTATTGTGCAGAACTTGTATTAGCATTGTGATTTTACCTTATCATATATTAGCATTGTGATTTTACCTTATCATATATTATATACCTTATCATATATTACCTTATCATATATTATCATACCTTATATATATTAGCAAGTTTTATCATTTGATGATTACTTAAAGAAAAAGAATTCTGAATATAAAGAAGATTTTTGTGATTAAAATTGGTTATTTTTTAAGTATTCTCAGATCCAAAAGATAATTTTAGTTTACTACCTCCTGTCTTCAATGAAATGGTGTTACCACTTTCACTACCTAGATTTTCTTTAATAAAATGGAAAACCGTTTATTCCTTGACATCTAAATAAAAGCTTTCTAAAGTTCAAAAGCATATAGTATATAAATAGTAAAAAGAGTATGGTTTACTTATCACATAGTGATAAGTAAACCATAATCTCTCCGAAAACGTTGAAATTAATTTGGATACAATTCAAAAAACCTAAGGCGAACTGTATTTGAGTTGGTATTCTTCTACTATATTTGAAATATTCTAGAGTATTATTTAATATTCTGGAGTATTCAACATTCTGGAGGATTCTTCCACTATATTTGCAATATTCTAAAGTATTATTCTTAGCAGCATTTTGTTTGAAGCTTGTGTTCTCAATCTAGGTTTTTTAGTGAGTGCGTCGGTAACCCAGAGAAATACCGCTTTTGAAGCAATACAGATATACAAAATTTCCATTTTCTAGTTTAAGTCTATATTTATTACTGCATCAAGTTCGGACATGTTTATATATGTTGTGTCATCTTTTTTTAACCAACAAACGTCTAAAAATTATATAGCCATCAACCTCGACAATCATGTATAGTGCTAATTGTTGCCTCGTTACTATAAATACTCCAATTTCCCTTTGATGGATTGTCATAACGTGTTCTTTTAACCATATCATTCAGCATTTTTCCAGATAATTACATTATATTTTTTTCATTCCGTGTTTTTGTCAGGACGTTTGCCTTTCTTTTAACATTCGACGAAGTTCCACGCATCAAACCACAATTTGTAAGATTCCCTGTCATTTTTCATGAGTTGAAAGCATGTAAAAAAAATAAATTTAATATGAATTAAAAAAACTAAAAAATAAAATAAAAGAAAATTAAATTTTTCAAAAAACTAATGCGGAAGTCGCCGTTTCCAAAAAATCTAATGCGGAAATTTAGCAAAAATACTATAGACACCGCTCCACGTTTGAATCTTTTTTTTACTTTTTTTTTTTTCTTTTTAACAAACGGTTTCAAACTTAAAATAACAATAACAGTAACCGCGCAAATCCAAATAAACAATAAAAAATGATGTGAAGCGGGCCAACAAGTGATATCTATAATAATCTATTACATCTATAATTTTTTTTTTCTTTTATAACAAAGTTAATTTTATTTTTAAAACAGTAATATTTATACAAAGTTTATAAAGCTTGTCTTCAATTTTGCGGAAGCAAACTCTAGGTAAAGAAAAAAATTTATATGGAAGCAAACTCTAGGTAAAGGAACAATAGGTAAATAAATACAAATAAAAAATCGACCAATTTTTCTTTTAATGTAAGTCGAGTTCAAAAAAATTCAAGTAAAATTAGAATATTAAAGGTTTTCACCTTCAATAAAAATAATCGCATAAAGATTGGATTACTGTGTAGGAAGTAAAGTTATAAAGTTAATGTGTGTTTCTGAGAATTTCTAAATACTTTAACAAAATTTAAAGAACATGTTTTAAAATTTTGAGTAATGAAAAATTATATTTTTTGCTTTGCACATCACAAATATAATGTGCTGAGTCTAACAACTGTATATATTAAACTCTCATAGCCTTAAGAAAATAAGTTTTATAATTATTTTTTTCATTTAGCTTGTTTTTAAAACAATTAAACTTTGTCTTGAAACTTTTTACATCTGAATTGATTAACTCTTCTGTTAAAATTTTATACTTAATAATTCTTATGTTAAATAGTTATTTTCTTTAACTTTTTTTTTTTCTGTTATATTATTATTATTATTTAGTTTGTTTAAAATATTCTGAGCAATGTTTGATTTATATGTAGTCATGGTTTACTTTAAATTTAGTCAAAAAAGCTCAAGATAAACATTAAGAAAGTTTCTATAGGTGATTGCAATACAAATCAAAATTTTTATTAGGATCTACATCTTTTAGAGACAAATTTGTCAGCTTAACAGTTTTGTACATATTGTAATATACAAATTTATTTGTTAAAAACTTTGTGGTTTTTAAATAAACTGTAAATATAATTTTATAAAAGATTAAGTCCACTTACAAAAAGTTTTATACATTTTTACACGTGTCTAATATCAATTTACACTATATTTAGATGGGTAAACCCAAGCCAAAGAAAGATAAACCATTGCTAGCTTGCAAAGTTGTAGTTTTAGAAGATGTCAATCAATTAGCTAAAAAATATAGAGGGAAATTCCAATTAACTCTGAAAACAATTAAAAAAAAAGGTTATGAAAATTGCATTGATCCAGCCCAAAACATGCTGTTAGTTCAATGGGAGACTCTTCTCAATAAAATATGTCATGAAGATCCAGTTATTGCTGTTGAAAACTTTGTCGATAATGAAGGTCCACCAGATAATTTTACTTATGTTAGACAAAACATTACTCATGGATTAGCTAATGATTTACTTGATCCTAATTTTTTAGCTGGTTGTGAATGTTTTCCGCGATGCTCTCAAAATACTTGTTCTTGTCCCAAAAATAGTGGACATAAGTTTGCATATGATAGAAACAAAAGAGTTTTACTTCCTCCACAATCTCCAATTTATGAATGCAATAAACGATGCAAGTGTGGTGATGATTGTCCAAACCGAGTCTTACAAAAAGGATTAACAGTTAGGGTATGTATCTTTTTTATAAACAATGTAAACTCCTATTATATGATAATTTAATTTAAAGCATTGCATGTTTTTAATTAGATAATTTTCTTGGTTATTAATTTTTTAAGATATTTTTTAAATATAGTTTTGTTTTGCATTTTTTTTCATGCAATAGAGCAATAGTTGCTGTTATGCAAAAAGTGTTCCAAAGTATTAAAGAATTTTATGCAAGTATATTAATGGTGCTTTTGTAAATTGTACTGACTTTTATTTGAATACTTTCATAATTCTAATTTTAATAGGGCTTTTAACTGAAATTAGTGAAATAAAAAACTTCCTTTAACCTTTAGCAATATTCAGCCATTGAAGTTAGGGTAAGCATTTAGCAATGCCGACCTTACTGCCGACCTAGAAGTGTTTTAGGTCAGCAAGAAATATATATATATATATATATATATATATATATATATATATATATATATATATATATATATATATATATATATATATATATATATATATATATATATATATATATATATATATATATATATATAGCATATTTATCTACTATAGCATATTTATATGCGCAATTGGTCACTTTTTTTGTTAGCCTAATTTAAGTGAGCGTTTTTGGAAAACGATGAAGGAAAACAAAGAATAATGAATGAAAAGGTTGCTGACCCATTAGGGCTGTCCAGAAATTATTACACAACCCAGAACATAGCCTAGGGAAGTTTTTCCCATTATACTATCAATTCTTTATTGAAAAACATTTTTTACAGATTTATTTTAAGTCTTCTAGGGGTTGCTCAAAGCTCTTGAACATTTTAACTAAAATATAACAGAAAATGTATTAAAACGCTATCTTACTTTTGTTCTAACTTGGTCTTACTCAATTAAATTTATTAAAGTAATTATGGAAATTGTTATTTTTTATATAGTAGTATTATGACGCACAACTTGTGCATGTTTGTTTACGTTCTACATATATTTCTAGAAAATAATTCAATATTTTTATAGTTTTTAAGGTCCAAAATGAGGAAAAATGTCGAAAATGTCACCTCAAGTTAGTAAGTTCAAGTTATTAGTTTCAAATGTTTAGTGTTTTTTTGTCAAAACTTGGAAACAGCTTCCGATGTTGTTCCACACCTTGCAATAGCCATGCTCTCTGTTGTTCATCTGTTGTTATTATTGTTGCAAAATCTGAGATTAGTTTGACGCCTCGTTCGGCAGCATCGTTGACAACTTTTACTGTTTGAACAAACTTTTCAGCAACTTGGAAGTCTTCATCTGCTGCCCATTGATTCACTGGTTTAGCAAGCCAATCTCTTCTGATGTTGAGATTCTGGAACAACTGATGTGACTCCGGTCCTAACAAACTCTTCAATGTTGTGTTGCGTTTGATTTGTCTGAAGATTGGTTTACCCATTCGGAAGTTTTCAGGCACTGCTATTGTCCACAATTTGTTTTCCATTTCTTGCTTAACATGGTCACTCATTTTAGGATGATGACTAAATAAAGCAAAAGGAACAACTTCTTCAGTGAGGTACCATCGATGGTTGTTTAGTTTGGCTACCACAACATCTGCAATGTCTCTGTCTACATTGCGGAAATCCATCATTTCATGAATGAGTTCTAGATCGTTTACGGGAGCATCGGCTCCAATACTGGCTTGCATCCATGCTGAGGTGTAAAAAAGAGCCAAGAATCTGTTTATACGTTCCAGTTTAATCACAGTTTCCTTGTCGTATTTCATTGCTTTTGAAAACATGAACATCTTCCCAGCATATATGTTGCAAGCCATCCAACGAGCCTGATGTATGGCTCCAGGTTTGAGGAAATGGGTTCCACGAGGTGGTGTTTTACCCAGAACAATAAGATTATTTTCTGCGCACTCTCGGTAGTCATCCTGAGGAAACACAGATAATTCCTTGCTATTGAGCAGCATTTTTAAATTATTAATGACTCGTTCTTTAACTTTCAACAACCATGGATTTTCAATTTTCAGCAACTGGATAGGTGATTGCTTATCGAGACCTGACCATGCCTCTTTGAAGGTAGCAAACATTTTGTTTTCTGGTCCTCTGATTTCACCAAACAGTGCTTTCCAAATAGCGCTAGCTACAAGTTCAAGGATATGGTGACGACAAGCAAGATAAAATAGCTTTTTATCAACAAATTCTTCGATAAGTTTAGCTGCACCCTTATGGACCCCACTGTTGCTTGCTGTAGTATCAAATACCAAAGCGACAACTGATTCTTTTAATCCCCCTGCTTCTAAGAGATCATATGAGGCATCAGCTTTAGTTTGTCCTTTAGAATCTCCTAGTTGTGGCACACTTAGCAATTTTCCCCATGAAAATTCTGGTGAACCTGACAGAAGAATTGCTAGACGTTCAAACTTATCACCAAGAGAGACCTGCAGTAACTTTCCATCCCAGTGCAATGCACCAAATTGAGGTGGTTTTTCCTTTATTTTCTCCATTATGTTTTCTGCAATGTGCTGTCTGTTTGACATTCGCTTTCGACGCGTAGTTGAATGGGATACATCGAAGTCGTCTAGATTGCCACATCATTGTAGTTTGATTGTCGGACAACTTTAACCGATCGGCTGCTGTCGTTAACTCGTCACATTCCATAATTTTTCTGGGAAATTGAAGTGTAACAAATTCTTGAAACTCTATTTTTTCAATAATGTGATCTCGCTCAAAATCCGGATCAATTTCCGAACAACCAACTTGTGCATCATCCTCGGACTCTTCAAAAAATTCATTTCTTTCTAGCTCTGCAGCTGCTCTTTTCTCTAGTCTTTCTGTTTCTTTTTCTTGTCGTTGTTGCTGCTGTTCAATTCTGGTCAGAAACTGTAAAGCCTTTGCTTCAAAAATTTTATCCTGGCCATTCATACTAGACTTTCTTTCATGTTTCTGATCAAGATAAAACGCTATGTCATCATCTTTGTGTTTCTGAGATAGAAGTCTAGATTTTCTTATGTCATCAATTGCATCTTGAGCACCAATGTCGAAAAGCATATCAAGCTCTGAGATAAAGTTTTCTCGGTTGTTACCAGGGTCGGTGGCACGACTTCTATTTTTTTTTAAACTGATCCATTCATTCCATAATCCAAGAACATCAAACATACAGTTTTGTCTTACTTTGGTTTTGATGCGAGCCATGTGCAACGAGTAAGAAATTTCTTCATTCTAAACACTGTTACCAACGCTATCAGGATCATTTCTCAGATATAAAACATACTTCTTCACCTGTCTGCGTGTAGGTAACTTTGCTCCAGTAATTGATGAACATGGCTGACCAATCAATCAAAAATTTGTACTAGTTCTAGTGGTAGGTTTTGAAGATGACGGAGTTGCGGGAACACTCGAAGGTAATGGCGAAGACGGTATAATTGGATTTGTCACTTTTAATTCTTTTCCACTCCTAGTCAACATTTTCTATTTTTTCTAAACTAAAATGCAAAATTGTATGTACCCAATCATAGCATGCAGGTAAAATAAATAACTATTATAACAAAAACATTATTTCCTATGTGTTTTAGAAAATGACATACAATTTGTTTGATTTGGATCAAAATTGGATCAAAATTGTGTAAAATTTAAAAAAAATACTCGCAATAACTTACATAATCATCAATTTATCAATTGGCATCCATAACTTAATTTATCAATAACTTAGATTGATCAATTTCAACATTTTTCGACAGTTATACTAAAAATTACATAGTGTTTTTGTACATTTTCTGTTAAAATTTGCTTAAATTGTTCAAGAGCTTTGAGCAACCCCTAGAAGACTTTAAACAAATCTGTAAAAAATGTTTTTTAATAAAGCATTGATAGTATAATGGGAAAAACTTCACTAGGCTATGTTCTGGGTTGTGTAATAATTTCTGGACAGCCCTACTGACCCATGCCAAACCCTCAGTTGATGTAGCAGCACTCCATATATATATATATATATATATATATATATATATATATATATATATATATATATATATATATATATATATATATGCTAAATACACACACTAAACGATTGTTTTTTTTACCATGCCATTTACTGGATTAAGTCTGACAAAGTTGGTTTGTTCAGAAGTGGTAAAAAGTAAACATTATTATCGTCACGCGTTATCGTTATTAAGACTTTAATGCTGTCAAGACTTTAATAACTTTTGCATACTAAATTATATGGTAGTATTTCACATTTCTGGAAAGTTTTAAATCATTTCCATTTCCAGTTAATTTTTAGAAGCCTAAAGAGTGTCAAATGTTATGACCACCACTCTCACAGAATTGCCCATATATATATATATATATATATATATATATATATATATATATATATATATATATATATATATATATATATATATATATATATATATATATATATATATATATATATATATATATATATATATATATATATATATATATATGTATGTATATATATATATATATATATATATATATATATATATATATATATATATATATATATATATATATAGATATATATATATATATATATATATACATATATACATATATATATATATATATATATATATATATATATATATATATATATATATATATATATATATATATATATATATACATATATATATATATATATATATATATATATATATATATATATATATATATATATATATATATATAAATATATATATATATATATATATATATATATATATATATATATATATATATATATATATATATATATATATATATATATATATATATATTAGGGCAATGTACAAAATTTTTTTGAAACAAAATTTGGTATAGATTTGGATGTTTTTATATGTTTTAACCTATAAAAGTATGAATCAGTTTTAAATTTAAGAAAAATTTAAAACTGATTCATCTTTCAACATATAAAAACTAATGAAATTGGGAATAATTGTACAATATATACTTTGCACTTGAATATAACATGTTGCAAAAATTGGCTAAAATGTAAAGAAATTATATAAATATAAAAGCTTAAGGGTATTTCCATGTAAAAGTGGGACAGTCATTTCAGTCACCCCTCGGATTTTCATTAAATATTAATCAGTGCCACGTATTAATGAAACATGAAAAAATCTAAATATTGAGCTCCCAAATTAAAGCGATTCAAAAGTTTTGAGGTTTTGAAATTCAGCCTAAAATGTTGTCTTTTTTTTTTACCAAATCCACCATTATGGATTTTGTTGTAGTACTTTTTAATGAATAATTTAAGATCTAGTGGAAATATGTGGCTGAAAATTGCTACTTGACCATTTTTGAGGGTTTTGAATTCAAAAATATAGAAAAATAATTAAGTTTAAACTTTTTGATAAATATTTTTTAATTATAAAATGGTCAGTCAAATTTTTTGTTCTGTTACCATGGGTTAAGCTTCTATTAACTTCCCGAAGTTGCCTAAGTCTTATGGATTCAATTTTTTTTTTCAAATGATGCATTAGATCTTAGGCTATCTTTATAAAAAAGATGGTTTTGGTTTCTTAAAGCATAATAATATGTCATTTTGAAATTTAAACAAAAAAATCCTTATTTTGGCCTCCATTCTCCATTATAGAAATTATAGCTTTACTTTTTGTGTGAATAATTTAAGTTCTAGAGGAAGAATATGATTGAAAATGGGACTGTTTTTTAAGGTTTTAATACAAAGATGAAGAGAAAATAACCCAATTCCTAAAATTTGATAATAATTTTCAAGTATCAACAATCAAATTTTTTGTTTCATAACTATGGTTTACATTTCACTTATTCCTGGAGCTGCTTTACTTTAAATGTCAAATAGGAGGTCTTAGAAAAGTTTAGGTCTCTGAAAGAAAATTAAAAAAATTATATTTCTTTGCATAACTTGAATATTTATAATTAATATTTTCAAAAGTATACATGGAAATATAATTTGCAATACATCACATTTAAAATATAATTTTATTTATTAATTATCTTTATTAATTATAATAATTTAACTTAACATTACAACTTAATGTCTAATAATTAAGTATTGTTTCAAAATATTGGTTACATGCTCTTTTAGAGGTTAGCATTAGATCGGCAAAAAAATTCAATAAAAAGGTCTTGACATAAAACATAAAAAAATGGTTGGCAGTTTTTTACCAACGTCAATCACTTTAAGATCGGCAGTTAGGTTGGCATTGCCAAATGTCGATTTAATTGGTTGCTTAATATTAATAAATGCAGACCCTTATTCCGAGGGTTAATAATGAAAGTTAAATATTAAAAAAACTTTTACTCATAAGATAAAAGCTGTTTAAATAGAGTTTCATCTTCTTTTGAGATACTGATGCCCAGAAGATGCTGACGGTGTGTTAACAAGAGAAAAGACATTCATTCTTGGCACCAGGCAATTATCATCCTGCTTCGACCAGTGGTACAACCAACATGGATTATGTGGATGCATAAACTTTACCATAAAATCATCATTCTCTACATCAGCAACCATACCATGTCAGTACCAATTCAGCAACCATATTATCATTCTCTTTATCCAATCATTCTCTTTAACCAATCATCATTCTCTTTATCAGCAACCATACCAAGCCATACCAATGTAGCAACCATACCAAGCCAGTAAAATTTGTCATATTTGCAAAATAGGTATTGTGATATCATAACAGTCAATTTTAATAGTTTCATATTTTTGTTAAATGAGGAAGTAAAATGTTAGCAATACCATCATCATCTGATACCCTTTTTATTTTTATAATTGAATGAGAAGGTATAAAATCAATAGAAGCTTCTTGTTCCTGGAATAGTGGTTGCTATTAAAAGTCTATCAGTAAGTTTGTTTCTTACTAGCTCCATTTCTTCAGCAGTGGTGTATACAAACATAATCCCAATGATTGACTTTTGACATTATTCAAAGATTGCTTGAGAAGACAGTATTTGACCTGTAGCTGGACTTTGCAAGCTAGCATTTGCAACAAGCCTTTTAACAGTGCTACCTATTTTATCACATGGAGAATTGCCATGGCTTGTTGCAAAGAATTTCCAAATGCAGCGAACAAAAAAATCTTGAGCATGGTGACATAAATTGTAAAAATGTTGGCAGTTTTTATACTGCCTTGTACAGCCATCAGAAAAATAATAAATCTTTGTAATGGTGGGACAAGAATGAGTTTTTATATGATTAATTGTTTTATGCATAACTGCATTGATAAATCCAACATGATTCAAATCATCTGAAATTTCACAAAAAGAAGATATTTCCAGTTTCACTTTCTTGTAGTAGATGACATCTGGATAAAGAGAACATTGACTCTTACTCCAATGGTAACTCAGTTTCTTGTCTCGCACTACAAAAGTGTAATCTTCTGCAAAATCTGCCACTACAATAGCCTCATCAATACTAATTATATCTTTGAGATGCCTCATGTACCTAGATTGTGTTTTGCTATAAAAGAACAAAAGAAGTAATTTTATTGTGTTTTTCACTCAAGAGTTCCATGAATTCATTTAATGGAAGTTTTATTGATTATAGTTCAGTTCTATCTGTCATTCTCTGCTGTTTAAAATCCACTTACTGTTTATTTTTATCACTGTCATATTGCTGTTTTGGATCATCATTTTGTATGAGATACTGCTGGAACTAATTTTGGGCAGCTTGTATGTCAGGACAAGTATTGCATCATTGAATCATGCAGACTTTCAATTTTCTGCTGCAGACAATCTTTTCAATGATATATATATATATATATATATATATATATATATATATATATATATATATATATATATATATATATATATATATATATCATTGAAAACATTATATATTAGACATATATATATATATATATATATATATATATATATATATATATATATATATATATATATATATATATATATATATATATATATATATATATATATATCATTGAAAACATTATATATTAGACATATATATATATATATATATATATATATATATATATATATATATATATATATATATATATATATATTTAATATATATATATATATATATATATATATATATATATATATATATATATATATATATATATATATATATACGATGTCATTCCGAAATATCAGGCTGCTGCAAAGGGTTTTTGCTACATTGACTGAGGGTTTGGTATGAGACAGCAATCTTTTATTTATTTTTTCTCCTTTTTCTGAAAACACTGTTAAATTAGCATATATACAGTGACAAACCCAGATTTTTTTTTTGGAATACAATTTTTTCTTTATGATGGGAGAGGGAAATTAGTTTTGTCTACCCTCTTTCCTTTTTTTTCAGTTAAAACCAGTGCTGTGACTATGATTTTTCAAATATCGCTTTGTTTATGATCACTTTCTTTATTTTTTTATTACATAAAGATAAGTAGTTGATTTAAAATAGTTGTTGTAAAAGGCATTTCTTTGAATACATTATTTAGCGGTGAACTTTTGTTACACTACGAAAACCTATTTCTTAGTAATATATCAGGAATTTTTATTAAAATTTGTTTCAAGTATTTAACATTAGGTAACTTTAGTTTTTAAATTTAAGTAATTTTAGTTTTATATTTATCCCATATATATATATATATATATATATATATATATATATATATATATATATATATATATATATATATATATATATATATATATATATATATATATATATATATATATATATATATATATATATATATATATATATATATATATATGGGATAAATATAAAACTAAAATTACTTAAATTTAAAAACTAAAGTTACCTAATGTTAAATACTTGAAACAAATTTTAATAAAAATATATATATATATATATATATATATATATATATATATATATATATATATATATATATATATATATATATATAAATTTAATCTTTCAAAAACTTCTTCAAAAATGATTAGAACCAGTTGTTGTTTTTATACTTTAAAGTTAAAATATGAAATTATTATATATTGTTAACAATTAAATTTTTTCTTATTTATTTTTAATATTTATTTAGAGATTTATTGGACTTTCCAAATATATTTAAATAAACTAATTAACCTTAAAACTTTTATTTTTTAATTATATTTTTTGCTTCACTAGGTTTGCATATTTAGAACTGATAATGGCAGAGGGTGGGGTTTAAAGACAAGAGAATTCATTCCCAAAGATATGTTTGTGGTTGAGTATGTTGGCGAAGTAATCACAAGTGATGATGCAGAAAGAAGAGGAAAGCTATATGATGAACGCCAGCAAACTTATTTATTTGACTTAGATTTTAATGGAGATCCAACATTTACTATAGATGCTCATGAATATGGAAATGTTTCACATTTTATCAATCATTCCGTGAGTAGTTTTACAATAAACTTATGTAAACTTTATTTATTTTTAAAAAAATTTAGATGACCGCAAAAAGTTTTAATCTTCAAAAAATAAATTTTTTAATTGATAGACTCTCTGCCCAAACCAAAATATTTATAATACCAATATATTATTTTGAATAAAAATAAAAACATACTTAATGTTCTGTTTTTATTCAAGAAATAAAATTATTTTTTGAATAAAAACAGAATTATAATTATTCCAGTCTATTCAGTTGCGTTTTTGAAGTTTTTGAAGAAATTATAAAATTTAATTAGTTTCCTTAATTAAATTTATTGGTTTCAATAATTTGTACTTAAATTTTTTTCTTAGAACAAAAAATGTTTCAGAGTTGTTTTTTTACCACAAACTGTACACTGAGATATCAAACTATAGGAATATATATATATATATATATATATATATATATATATATATATATATATATATATATATATATATATATATATATATATATATATATATATATATATATATATATATATATATATATATATATATATATATATATATATATATATATATACATATATATATATATATATATATATATATACATATATATATACATATATATATATGTATATATATGTTTATATATATATGTATATATATATATGTATATATATATATATATATATATATATATATATATATATATATATATATATATATATATAATATATATATATATATATATATATATACACACACATAATGGGTGGTTACTAAAAATCCGGACTAACTTTACTGACTTTTAAATACCACAAGCTAAACTTTTTTTTATTTTTTTATCCATTTTAAAGCTTATATAATTCTTTTTAAGTTAATTTACTTGTTTTTAGATAATTAATAAAAATTAAAAAAATAGTGATGTGGAGCAAGAAAAGATAAGAAAATGGATTTACGAGTTCTATTTGAATAATTAATTGCAAGGTAAAAGTTCACATTAGACCACTTCAATGCTGAACAAGTTCCAAAAAGGACTATCTGTGATATAATCAAACATGATGAGAATGGTTCATGGGTACAAAAGAGTGCAAGTTGTTCACATATTATTAAAACTCTTGCCAAAGACAATGAATCAAAAATGTATATATAAAACAGGGTATACCTGATTGACAAGAGAGCCAGAATGAGCAAATCAAGACCTACATTGATCGCCTTCGTCGCAATTTTCAAAAATAATCTGTCGTCCTTGACAACAAGTCTTACTTTATGCTGTTTCACTTAACAATTAACAGAAAGAGCACCTACTACTCTAGCGATAGAGACGAGACTCCACTGCGCATTAAATATCACAAAAACCGCAAGTTTGAACCCAAGCTGCTAATCTGGTTGCTTCTGACAAAGGTATTTTCAGGCCTTTTTTTGTCCCCAGTGGTTTTGCAGTCAATAAAACCATCTACAAAATTGTATTAAGGGAAGATTAGTGCTTTTCATCAACACTAATCATGCCAATGGTAATTATGTATTTTGGCCCAACATGACCTCATCGTGTTATGCCAAAATCGTTACCATTTGCTATGAGACTCATATCATCAATTTTGTCAAAAAAATTGGCAATTTGCTAGCTGAACTGGAGTGTTGCCCAACCAAATACTTTTGGGCTAATCTGAAAGGTAAAGTGTACGAGGGTAAAAGGCAAGTAAATAATGGGAAGCAACTAAAAACCAGAAAAAAGCTTTGTCCGAAAAAATTGAACTTAACCTTGAATTTTCACTTTTTGGGTCAACTCGTTAGCTATAGTTCTTAACTCTCTAGAGTTAGCTGAACTCTTAAAGTTGACTACGTTAAAATCTCTATCTTAAAAACTTATGGAATAATTGCTCTTGAAAGTGAGTGCAGATTTGAAGTAACCATCCATTATATTGGGCATCATATATATATATATATATATATATATATATATATATATATATATATATATATATATATATATATATATATATATATATATATATACAGTAAAGAACCCAGACGTGTTCCATACCGTTTTACCGGTATGGGTGCTAAAAAAAAAGCACCCAAAAGTTATTTTAATTTTTAATTTTTCTTTGATTTTTTATGAAAAAAATGAAAAATAATTTAGTTTAAAATGCATTAGTATATAAATAATTCTCAGTTTAATTTAGCTACCTCATTTTTTCTGCAGGAAAAAAAAAAAAAAATGAAAAAGAAATAGCTTTTTTACATAATTAGGTGACATAATTTACCTTCGGTTATTAACTGGACATTTAAAAAAAGATAAAAGTCTATACAAAACTTAATTTTAAAACTGTGCTGCAAAATTTTATAACAATGGAATTTATAAAAGATTTGCTTTTTGAAAGTTAAAGTGTTTTTAAATATCCATTCAGCGTAAGGTTAATTTTTGTTTTTGGCAATTAAGAGTAAACTGCTTTTGATAATAAATGAACAAAAGTAAAAAATAACTTGTAACTATCGCGCAAACTTGTAATATCCTTTTAACTATCGTGCAAGTTTAATTTTTAAATGAATGAACTATCTTTCTTTAAATGAATGAACTATCTTCTTTAAATGAATGAATGATCTTTAGCTTGCTATTTTAGTTAATCTGAGGAAAAGAAAAAAACAAAGTATAAACTTTTTCAGACAGTTTTTTTTCCTTTCTATATTCTTTTTAAAATAGTAAAAAAAAGGTTTCAATAACTTAATAAAAGTTTCATTTAGATCTGTTTAAAATAACAAAAATATATTTTTTAAATATATGTTTTTAAAAATATAATATGGTTTTTAATCAAAATAATATAATATTTTTAAAATTATGTTTACTGTAATTATCTCTTTAATTATCTTTAATTTAAAAGGCGCCTTAAAATCACTTAAAAAAATATAGCCTTTGGTAAAAGTTAAATGAACAGATTTACTAATATTTAAATCTAAATTTAAAATTTAAAATAAAAGAAACAAAGTTTATTAAATGCTTATGTTTTTATTCAAATACTTTATTAAATACATTTATTAAAAGCTTCTCAAATTGGTTTATTAAATGCTTATGTTTTTATTTCAAATACAAGGCGTAAAACTATTTTGTTGATTTTACAAATATTACGCGATATAATATATGTAAATATATTATGTAGTGTAAATATTGATTAAAGTTGTTTAAAATATTTTTAATTGTTATTTTAAATTAAATTTACTAAAATATAGTAATAACTGTTTAAAATACTTTAAATAATTTTCAATAATTATTTACTGATAGCGTGGTATATGCAACAAAAGCATTTATTAAAATCTAAAGTAAAATAGTTTTCCTTTAGCTAAAGTAACATCGTCCACCAGGAAATTTATGTATTCAAAAAATGCCTTTAAATCAACATCTTCTTATAGGATAAAACTGAACAAGATAAACAAATGATTAATAAGAAAATGATAATAAAAAATTATTGTTGCGACACCCGTTTAACTAGAGGAGAATAAGGGGAGAGGGAAATCAAACTCTTTACTGATATGTGAAGAACTCAGAGTTTGATATATATATATAAATATATATATATATATATATATATATATATATATATATATATATATATATATATATATATATATATATATATATATATATATATATATATATATATATATATATATAAATATATATATATATATATATATATATATCAACCCTTGGAATTAGGAAAAATGATGTTGGCAAGTATTTGCCGACCTCAATCTTTTTGAGGTTAGCATCAGGTCGGCAAAAATTATTTGATACAAAGGTCTGCTCATAAAACATAGAAACAAGGTCGGCAAATTTTTGCTGACTTCAAACACTTTCAGGTCGGCAGTTAGGTCAGTATTGCTCAACGCCGAGGGTTGTATGTATATATATATATATATTGCCAACCTTAATATGTGTGAGGTCAGCATTAAGTTGGCAGAAAAAATACAAAACAAAAGTTTGACCATGAAACATAGAAACAAGGTTAGCGATTATTTGCTGACCTCAAACACTTCTAGGTCGGCATAGCTGAATGCTGACCCTATTTCTAAGGGTTTTATGTGTATATTAGTGTAGGTCAATTTTGGGATGAAAGTATTGCTAAACAATTAAATGTTGGATATTTATATGTAATTAACAAAAGTAGCAAACTTAAGTGTTTTAACTAAATATTTTTTTGAGGAATGTAATTAGTGGATTCAATGTAATTAGTTGATTTCCATACTTCATAAACTACCTTTTGCTGTTTTATAAAATTTATTTTTCTTTGTTTTTTAAAACACACATGTATTGTACTTTGTTTGTAAACAATATTTAACTTAGTAGTAAGTTCTATAATAAAGTCTCTGACTATTTTTAACTTAATATTTAAAACACCAAAAAACTCAAATTTATAAATATTTCTTAAAATCTACTTTTTAATTTGCCTATACAACTAGATTTACGCACTTAACTGGTTTATATTTTATAAACGTTACTTTTGTAGAATGATATAATGTAGTTAAAATAAGTTAAAGTAAACAATAAGCACATTTTACTAATTGCATAGATATTATTATCAAGTAAGTTATTATTTTATGCAAAATATAAATGGTTAGTACTTTAATAAAGTGTTATAAATTTATTGCAAATAATTTATGTGTCTTGTAATAATTATATGAACAAAGTATTTAGTTTTAGAAAATAAAAAAATGCCAAAAATAAAAAAAGGTCCCGTACGCGATTGAAAAGTGAAGAGAATTACGGAGGTTGCCCTCGTGATTTAATTACAACAGATCTAAGCACATACAGACAATTTATTCAGTTTTATTACTTCCTAGATTGTTCTGACATAAAGCCAAACATTTGGGCAAAAATGAAAAATGCAAATCGGAACACATAATTTGCATATGCCCTAAAGAAGCAAAAGTCCCAATAAAAAAAATAGGATCAAAAAAGTTGTTTCAGATGTCTTCTGTAGATACATCTGTTTTAAAACACAGCAACAGAATTATTC